TGACAACTTCTTGGTTGCGTATGCCGTCAATTTACAGTACACAGTATGTGGGAAAGGGGCCTGAGAGGGATCTTGGATCTAGAGTTTTGACGGCGGATGCCGTAATAAGAAAGACGGCACATCATTCAGGGCCAATGACAGCACGACCAGTTCGGATGGAAGCGTCATGCTGGATCTGGGGGCGGCAGGCAGCCCGCAAACCCAGACTCAGAAAACCCGTGATAGTATATAGGATTTCCAACCCTGCTGTAAGCCCACACGTCCCGCTTATGCTGTAGGCTTGGTTCAGCGCACTTTTTGGCCCTTTTGCCGATATTGCCTGATGATACACCCAAACAAAGATGTTTTACGAATGCCGTTGCGCATATACTACACCAGCCATGGCATGATGATATTGACATTAGATATCATTTTATCTTCTATAGATACTATCTAGTCGATCGTGTTAATATCGTGCAGCACAGGTATCTACCCATTTTGTTTCAGGTCCATGAACAATGTTGGCCTTTGCTTCGGCAGAGGCTCTCACAGAGTTGTTTATCCTCAAATCCCTTGCTGTTCTTGCTGTCTGGCTTTTGGAGCAACAAGCCCGTCACTTTGCGCTAGTGATTCGCAAGGGAGGTGCGCCCGTGTGCATTCGGGGCAAGAATCGGTAGGATTGAGATGCAAGTTCTGTGGCTTCGAAGCAGCCGAAGACCTTAGCCACTTTATCAGGCAGATTGATGAACAAGGTTGGCATGGGCACTAGCCCTCTCTCTCTTTGAGAGACTGGGCTTTTGTCGTTTGTGCATCAGAGTGCACAAATTACTAGTATCACAAAATATGGCCAGGTACAGCACAGTGCTGTATGGGCATGCAGGGTGTGGAAAGTGTGGCCAGCGGGCGTGAATGTGGATAGACTCCCAGCTTGCCAGGACAAACTCACCATATCACCGTGTTTGGCTGGTCTGATTTTTTCCCTGAGGGCATGTTGGATGCCCATGATTTTTGCAGCGCTGAATGATGTTCAAGCTTTAGTGCCTAGACTAGTTCCCAAGATTCAGCAAGGCTTGTTGGCAAAGGGTTTGCCAGCCGCAACCGTGCATCGGGTATGAGCAGCTCAGTAAAGTAAAGCCAGCCTTGCTTGCTGTTGCATGCGCCTTGGATGCTCCTTAGTGTGGCTAGAGAGCAGCAGAACCATGAGAAGGCCGAGACTAGGCTAAGCAAATCAAGTTGGTTGAACATTTGGGCAGGAAGCAGCAGAGACTTTCTTTTAGTGCAGGCGCTTTAGTCACTAGAGCCACTAGATCTGGCAACCTTGGTGGGCCCATAGCCTTCACTTGCATCACTTGTAACACGGTCATGAATTCTTTGTGCCTTTGGAATTTAACCTAGTTGTATCTTCAAAGGTCTCGTCCAGGCCAAGATGCACAAAGCGGCTGAAGAGGGGCTGGAACTCTTTGGGCATCGTGGGCTCCACTGCTGCCACTGCTGCAGTTGCATTGTTTGCCTTCATTGTTTACCCAAACATTTGCAAGCAAGCTCGAATGAATAAGTTTGGGGTGCGGCGCTCCGAAGGCATTTCTGATGCACCGTCTATGGCTTTCATGGGTCCTGTTAGCCTTTCGACCTTCAAATGCACCAGCGACTTGAGGAGCAGGATAGCAAAGTCCTAGCGATGCCTTAGAGAGGAAAAGTGCGACTCTAAAGGAGGTTGGTTCCAGGCACTTGCCATATCCTGCCATCACTTGCGTCGTTTTCATCCTTTATGCGTACCATACCTCATCACACGGGGGTTTTGTAACGATATTGTTTCGATCTTTTGTCAGTTGCAATTTCATGGTCTTGATTGTTGTGGTTGTTTCGGCAGCCCTTGGGTGGAAGCAGCAGACCAATACCGCCAAAAGCCAATGCTTGCAGACAACTGGTGCAATTATCTCAGGAAATGTATGGAAATGTAATTTCATCATATTTGATGTTTGTTTATTTGCTTTCAAGGTTTGCTTCCAATGACTGCATGACTAGAGCAACTGGGCCTTCTGTCGGGCAACTCGGCCCACAAACGCAATCAATGCAGCTGAGCTATTGCAACCCCGGCCGGGCGTCCTTCCCATGCTCCCAAGAACCTTTTTTTTTCTAGGCCAGCACCTAGTTGTGATGCCTCCAGCATACCTGAACGACTTCCACTGGAGAATCTTACCATATCTTACCCTTTTTGGAGCCACGTGTTTTTCTAAAATTTTTCTAAAAGGTCAACGGTACCATTTGTCTATTTGGTTCTCGGTGCGGTTTCGAGGCAGCTGTTGGGAATGTTGGCCAACTTGTTTCAGGTGGATTGATGAGGTTGAATTATCGCTGGTATTGGTGCTCATTCCTGCACATCTTCGGTGGGCCAATCGAAACTGCTGCTGATACTATATTTATAAGCAGGTACAGATGCAACAACTGAATTCGCGTTTTGGTTCATATTCCACACAAAAATCGGGTTCGTGCATTGATTTGTGCATACTGTACATATTTGATATTAGTGATCTCCAGAGCCCAACCTGTTGGTTCCAATCCACCCTGCTTTGACCTTAACATCCATACAGATCAACGTCCATCACTGACATCGAGTTTGCATTCCAATTCTCGCCTTGGCAAACTTGTGCGCACGCAAGTTGTACATGTCCATAATTTCATATATGTCGATCTCTATATGTGAATGGATGAATCTTGTGGCTTACTTACTTGCATGCACTCAAAACGACCTGCAAAGAGGAAAACCATTTGGGACAGCATTGATTTCCCCCAACCACGACCACCGCAGGACATTTTGGGAGAGACAGCTTTTGACACATACGTTTCAAAAAACACACGTACAGATTTTTCGCCTATCGGCATGTGCGGCGAATCGGAGCCTCCCTTGGAGCCCGTGGTCAGACACTTGGGCTGCGAGTGTCATCCAAGGCGTTGTGAGCTTGGCACTGAGGACAGCGATGGTGAGGCGTCCCTTTTTGGCTCTCAGGACTCAGGTTTTGATTATATAGTTTTTGTTTGTTCATTTGAAAAGCTGAAATTACCGTTGAAGTTTAATGCTCGGCGAAAAGTCACAGGTTGAAGCATACGCACAAGAAGCCAACCTTTCCGATGAAGATTTTGGTGAGGCACTCTCCAGATCATTCCGTTTTGAATAAAACCCATGACAGGTCCGAACTGGGTTCAATTTCAAACATAGGCACATCCAGCAAAAGGGTTGAACACAAATAGTTGTTGATTTCGCACGTTGCTGTTCGTGCCACTGTGCAGGTCCTTTCTCCCTTTGGTCCCGAGACATTCAAAAGTGCTGCTGAGTGCTGGGTGTGTCGCTTACGACAGCAAAATCACATGGCGGAAGAAAGAATTGCCATACTGGCCACACTATATAAAACATGATAAGATCTTATAAGACTATATAACAAATTTGATCAAATCTGGTTGTCAACAATGCTTGGAGCAAATCATGCTCTTGTGGATCGGTGTTTTTCCCCTTACATAGGTTGTTCTTTCTAACCTGTTTGTCCAGTGTAGTAGAGATATTTTGCCGGTGCCCTTGTTTAGTTGTGGATTCCCGGAATTTGTAAGGCACATGCAGAGACCACTCATGGTTTTTCTTTGCATGAGTTGAGGAGGACGGGAAGGGCCGGACAGGTTAAAGTCAGCTAACATTTTTTTTCCATGCGCGGTTCATCAGATGTGGTTGGATGAAGTTGGATCAATGTGTGAAGCCTTGTTGCGTAGCCAGGACTCTTGGGGCAGACGTTCAAATCTAAGATGGAGTTCCTGGAACGCCTAAAGTATGAAATGTATGGGTCGAGTTGAATGTGGAGCTAAGGTTTGGTCTGACTACCATCGGATACGGCTCGTAAATCATTTCAGGACGATGGCTTTGAGCATCCATTGTGATTTGTGCCTGAAGTTTGAGGCATCAAGTTCTGTGAGAATGAACTTCAAACTCGGCCGTTAGGCTCAGACACTTTCGATCACAGAAAGAAGGGGCTCTATGGGACTATAATGGACACCCCCCCAAGCACAAGATGGAACACTAACTCCGACTCCGCACGTTGGACCGCCATTTCCAGCGTTTGCCGCTTCGCTTGGGCCGGATGTTGCCCCCCAAGGCAGGTGACTGCTCAAGATTCTTAAAATTAAAGCATTTCCTGGGGGATGGTGACAACATGTGACCCTCTTTGGTCTCTCTTTGTATGCTCAATGCGCAGCTTCAAAGTGAACGGTTTGAGTTTGACATCTTTGTCCCACGTCCAAGAGACAATACAGTAATTAACCTCCAGCGGTTGGAATTCTCGACGTCCTCAACATCTGGTCAAGGCAAAGTGACGATGACACTGCTTTTGAAGAGCTGGCAAAGCAGACGCCACTAGACAGGTTCCAGAGGTGCGCTGCCATGTTTTGCAAGGGACGATTGACAGTCGGCGGTTGTCAAAGACAAGAATATGTATATAATATATATATATATATGTGCTATCCCTTCGGGAATCCCAATGAGGAAACCAAGTCCAGCCAGGCCGGTGTCAGCCAATCAGAGCCATTTTCTTGTAGAGCACAGGTTTTTCAACCATTCAGCTTTTGTGTATACCATGGACTCCTCGTCAGTATCGGCACGTGGCCCATGCAACAAGGCTCATGCAGAAGGATTCGCGTCGCTATGAGATGCTGGTTCTTGCAGTGGAGGTGAGTTGACAATTTCACAGAAATAAATGATGCAGCCGAAAGAATCAAGCCGTCTTCGGGCCAAGCTGGAAATGTGAGGCGGCCTATCTCATCATGTATATTGCATTCTTCATCTTAACAGGAGACCTTGCCTCTACTGTCGGTACATCGATCATCGCATGGTTTGCAGGACTAGAGAAGCCACAGAAAGGTGGTGCTCCCCCCATCCAAAGACTTCTACGAAAGCTGCGCAACTTGTCAATCGCGTGCATGAATGCTTGGAAAGTTGCACTGTGCCGTCCAAGGTAGACAGTCTATGGCAGAACGGAGAAATGCGACTGGAAACTAGAGCTGACGAACTCCATTTGCGAAAGAGGCACATGGATGCAGATGGTACGTTTCGTGCTCGCGCAAGAAGGCTTTGTAGAGGTGGGATTCCTTCAGGCTTTGGATAGATGCAGGTCCAGACATAGCATCAAAGGATTCTTGACCAGAACTTGACACTTCTTTGTTGTTACTCTTGTGGCATCCAGCTGCAGCTGCGCAGGCTGCATGAAAGCCTGGAAATGGCTCGCTTGTGTGACGAGGATTTGATCAAAACCGACACAGCTGATTTCTTTCTGTCTGACACAGAGCTGCAACAGGCGTCAACCTTTCCCGTCAGCCTCAAGTTGTCCTTGTGATCTCTGGGATTGGGACCCTCAGACAGCTCCACACTTAAGGAACGTCCCCTGAGCCATTTCATCCCTGGCTTGGTGGTGGCCCTGCGCTTTTGGAAACTCTTTGGCCTCCGCTTGCTGTGCCGACGGGTCCACATAGCTCCGCACCACTGCTGGGCCTTGGACACGGCCTTCCAAACCATCGTCCTTTGCTGGTGCGCCCACATCCATTTAGAAATGTTGGGCAGTGGTGTTTGGAGGTTGTGTGAAGAAGGTCGAAGTGAACCAATGTTGTAATAAGAACCTGGAAGGTACGGCTTCATGGCAGGACCCGTGCTCATATTGCACTGTAGCCACATGTAGAAAGTAGATGGACAGATCTGAATCTTGACGAGAGACTGGAGGACTCTTCTCAACCTTGAACTTGCTGAAAGTAGACGACAACAAATTTGGCAAAGCCCTCTTCATAGGCTGATTCCTCAGGCTGTTGAACACCCACTGACAGTTTCTCAGAGTGTTGAATAGCTGCAGGTGTTTTGAGCCGTGAACCTATGTGGATTGACTATATAAATATTGCATAACATATCATAACATTGCCATTGTTGAGGATTTCTTTTGCTGGGTCTTGTTTGTGTTTTTCACGTTTGTCCTGGCGTGATTTGCCAAGGACCCAGTATTTATGTGTTTCTGCTCACGTCTCTTTGCCTCATGGTGCTAGACCAGTGGCAGACCTTGATCGCATCAAGTGCATCTTGTAGCTCCTCGGGTGCAGATTGAGTGAGCGCAGTTCACGGCAGCTGGTTACCAGCTAACCGTTAGCTTCTCATTGCTTTTGTTTGTAGCGTCTTGGCACCCTCTGCGTGTCAAAGGGGCTTGGCCGCTTTTGGCTCGAAGTTTGAGGCTTTTTCGTCATTCCTCAGATGGTTGGTGGCCTAAGTGTGCACCCTCGGGGTTTCAGCCATTTGATGCTTTCTACCCGAAGGCAAGTCGGATCCACGCGAACCAGACCAGATCACTTGGGAGAACTAAGGTGGCGATCATCCGCGTCTTCGATCACAAAGGACCACTTCTTGCTCTGCTTCTGGACTCCATGAATCAGTCCTTGTCTTAGACTCGTCGGTTGAAGCACTTCCCACATTCATGCATTTTGTATATTTGTCATTATTTGTCCAGGTTTGCTTTGATCATTGGCGTGGTAGCGCTCAGTGTGGCCAGGTTGGCAGCTGAGACATGGGCGGACCTGGATAGGATCCACATGTCATTGTATGTGCACACCTGTGGGTTCACATCAGACATATTGCAATTATACATCTGCATTCTGTGTTTGCATATGTTTTGGCTTGGCAAGAGGTCAAAACTAAAATTATTCCAGCGTAGACACCATACATTTTATGCATTTACAGTATGAAGTAAGCCACAGAGGCGAACGGTCAAACATTCAACGGCTCGAACCGTTCCAACGCCCAGTGATCAACTCAGACCTTCTGGGCTTGTTTCAGCTCTTGGCTCAATTGGCCCAAGGTCAGGACCGGCAACTCAGACAAAAGAATTGAACATATGCTAATCTACTGAACATGCTGAGTTGTACTAAAATGTGGCTTTATCATGCTGTGATTAAAAGATGTCTCTTTGCTTGTCTCCCTTCTTAGATGCTCTTGGCACAATTCAAGTTACTGTGTTGCTGACCTATAGAAGCCGTTTATGGAATGCCTGTATAATGCTCCAAGAAGCGATCCGTGACCGCAATTCCAAGATATCACCATAAGGTTATTTTAAAGCAACGACAAGGAGGTGAAGGCTTTATCTTTATAAAGGGCTAACGCCCTGGTGCCGCCGACCCCCTTTTTGGGGGGGCAAGGATCGAGAAGGTCTTTGAAAGCTCGAGCGCCCGGAGGTCGCATTTGAAGCTGCCGCCTGGAAGGCACGCCATGCGGAGCGACGTGTCTGCAGGGACTGCGCAGGCAAAGTCAAAGGTCAGTGGCTGTGTGCAGGGTGCACGGAGCGTAAGGCGCGGAAGGGGTTCAGCGCGTGGATGCGGCGGCGGCGCCGACATGGAACGCAGCTTTGCAACGATTGCATCCGGCTTGTGGACCGCAAGAACGCAAACGGCAGGCTCGCGACGCCACGAATGCATCTTGCCCGGGAACAGAAGACCGCGCTCGTGGCGGAAGTCCGCACGCTGATCCAGAGGCAGCTCGGGGAAGGAGCCACGCATGACGCATGCCCGATGGTGACAAAGCCACCCAACGCGAAGAAACGCATGCACCGGAAGCATCGGTCAGTGCCACCACGCCACGCGTGACGCGGCCAGACTGTAAGTAAACGTGCCCTTTCTGCAACCAAGAAGTCCGGAGCACAGTGTCAAGCGGGCAGGTCAACCGCAAACGTGTCTGCGGCAAATGGTTTCGTAGCAAACGACGAGGTCGTTGCCCATGCCCCCGCTGCGGCACGACGGTGTTTTCGACGGCCGCCCGTGGATGCACCCAAAAGAAGCACAAAACGCCACCGCCGGCAAGCCTTGGTGAGCCCCAGGCAGGCAGGGAGCGACCATTGCCAGTGCCTGGCGTTGCCTTCGAAATGCGTTAGAAAGAGTGTGGGGGACGACCCCGACAAGCACCAGCCCTGGCCAGCCACCGTCCTTTTCCTTTGGTAGCTGCCAAAAGCTGGTTATGGCCGGCTGCTGCTGGACCACGCCAGTGTCGCCACACCAAAACACCCTGGCCCTGAAGGTTTCAACGGAGCAGGGAGCGACCCTTGCCACTGCCTGACGTCGCCTGCGAAACACTATAGAAAGAGGTGTCTAATTCGAAACGCCATAGAGAGAGGTGTCTAACACGAGAGCCAGGGACCAGGACAAGCCCCAGGTAGCTTCCAAAACCTGCCTATGGCCGGCTGCCCCTGGACCACGCCAAAACGTCGGCGCCGCCACACCGAAACATACTGGCCACAAGTGGAGACAAGTGTAAAAACATGAAGGCTAGTGTTTCCAGAGTGAGGTTCCATTGAGCACAGGGAGGCTCAATCAAAAAACATAGTTTCCATTGAGCAACGAGAGATTCGATTTAGAGAAGAAGGGCGCTCTCTAGACAAGACCTCACATGCGAGTTTACATGTGCATCTTTTTATTGTATGTATTTTGGCATATTTTGGCTATTTTTGAGCTGTTGTGTGGTGTACTTTGCATATTTCTGGTGTACACTTGCATGTTCTGTTGAGTAGGTAGGTCGTCCTTGCGGGGCTCATTTTCCCATGGTTTCTGAGAGGTGTCCGCGACACATGGTTTTTGATTTCAGTCTAGCGGCTGCAGAAAGGCCAATATGGACTCTGGATATCGATACTGCAGCAGAACTGGCACCACGAAGCTGAAATATTGATATCCTATACAATACTCATGAATTACATCAAGGACTCTTGCTATTTTTGATCTGTTTGTTATATTTTTTGTTTTGGCGCAAAGGCCTGGGCATTGGAGGTTCACATGTCGGAATTTCCGCCTGCCAAGGTGGTCTGCATGGCGAGACAAACAACTAGACTTTCGACGAGAGGACTGAGAGCCAGACTGAACTTGCAAGTATGTGTTAGTGAACATGCTATGGTAGCACGAAGTCAGACATGCGAGGTTCCGCATCCGTCGGCCGGTAATAATCCTGCCCAAGCCTTCTTGAGAGCGGCGTGGTGGAAACCACGAGTGTGAACCGCATGGGCCTCATGACCGCTTTGCGCGGCGTGCAAATCACACGGTCGGGAAGGGGAAAAACATTTCACGGTCCTTTCAGTTCCATTGACTCAGGCCACGGGCCACATGGGTGAGGAACGCGCAAGTCATCAGCAAGTGTTCGGCGGCTGTTGGGAAGCGTCGCCTGGTGTCCAGCAAGGCGCGTGTGGTGCACCATTGGTACGATCTCGCGTTGAAGGGGTGGCTGCGTGTCTTCCTGCTTCCTCCTCACGTTCTTCCTTCCTCCTCTGGCTCCACGTTTTCCAATCGTTGGCGCTTGGCCACCTGTCAAGTCCAGCAGTCGAGTGACTCCACGGCTGCGAAGTGACGCCATGGATTTCTTGACTACAATGCTTGTTGGTGTCCTGGTCACAGGTGATGCGGCGCACATCGGAGAAGCTTGGATTTGTGTCCCATCAGAAGCCGGGCCCTTCCAGATGATTTTGATGTTTTTGACGAGATCTGAGGCTTTGGCATCTCTCCGATACACAAAAGCTGCTGCCAAAGTAGCGACAAAGAAGTCCACATCGAAGACAGCGGATGATGGCCAGTCAAGTGGTTGCTCTTTTCTGCCGTTCTTCTTCAACGCGTTTGGAACCTTCGAGATGTAGTGAAGAAAGTAGGGCAAGAAGGCGGTCCAAGCAACCACGGTGCAACCCCAATGCTTCATGAGCGGCGGCTCCACCTTCTTGGGCTGTTTCGCTCTTATAACGCAGCTCGATCTTTCGAAGCACTGCATGGCGACGCCCGACCAGACTCAAACGTTCTGGAGCAACAACATGTTGGTTGTTGTTGTTGTTGTTGAACTCTTCCGACAATCATCCTCGGCCTTCATTGGTCAGAAGCTAGCTGGAGGGACAGCACTGCGCGCGCAGGTTTTCGCGTGCGCTCACAACTGGCGCAGCTGTAGTTCTGGGCAACTTGGGGAACAGCATCAGCGGCGCCTCTAGCATGTAGCAAGTCGCACAGCTCCTCAGGTGAGGGGTGGCCAAGGTTGCGATGCAGTTTCTGGGCGACACGAACAGCTTCCTGCTTGTTGGTCGTCGCAAGAGTTGGACCAAGCGACCTTGGTGGGCGCGAGCTGCCTCAACATCACTTGCACAGCCATGGTCCCAAACTTGGGGGTGTTCTTCGGCTGCCGTTGTCACTGAAAAAAACTGAGGCCATTGCAGGTTGACAGTCCGCAAAATACTTCGCTCGAAGTCGGCCACCATTCATGGCATGTGGCCTTCCGAGCGACAGTCGTGTGACTTGTTGCAGGTCAGGCTCAGAGCGTTTTTGGATGTGGTGAGGGTGCTGTAGGACGAGATATGGCCAGATGCTGGACAGTTGGCTGCCACATGGCCTGACTGAGCCTCCACATCGAAGGCATCGGGTTGCAACTGAAGTTGAGCACGTGCATCCGGTGCCTTGCCTCCAGTGCGTGGCGGGTAGCGAACGGTGGGTGAGCTGGAGCGACCCTTCTTGGTGCCCTTGCCTTTCCAATGCCTTTGGTTGAGCGGGTTGGTGATGAGGTCTGAGGGTTTTTGTCATCCTGCAGGGCCCCTGTTCAATTTCAAGTCTGCGAACCTTCTCCTTCCATCCAAGTATGTGGCATAGGCTGAGTCATACACATCGATGTCCCATGACTCTTGAGGCGGCCACGAAACCTTCTTCCTCCTGCTCAGGCTCTTCAACCTGAAAGTAGCCGGCGTCATTGTCAAAGCTGGACTCACCATCTTGCCAGGACTGGATAGGGTCATGCTCATAGAGGTTGTGGCGCTCCTTCTCCCCATGGAAACCATCTTCATCTTCCCAGCCTTCGTCAGCTAGGTGGGCTCTTTGTCCTTTGCCGCGGCCGAAGGGTTTTCTGTCGGAGATGACTGCGGCCTTGTGATCCTGCCCAAGGATCAAGTAAAGTGCTTCTGGGACTTTGTTGCGCTCAAGCCCAGGTGCCTGTGTGAGCGCCATTTGACGCGGCTCCTTGGTGACGTTGGCCTTCTTCAAGAGGAACCAACCAAGCATGACTGAAGGCAGCTTGACACCATGAGCCTGTACCTTACAGAACTTCTCCTCAAACTCACTGCAAGACTCCAAGAGCGTCGAACCTGGCTTCCGGCTTCCGGACGCAATGAGTGACGACGTTCTCAGTTCTCAAAGTCCGCTGTCGTAGGCAAAAGCTTTGTCCAGAAGCTCTAGAATCTAGAACCTTCTCCAGGTTGTTGCGGCCAAAATCCTCAACAACTTTCCAAGCTGCTCCTTCAAGATTCCCGATGAGATTGTGAACGCTCTCACCAGTCCGTTTCCGCAGCTTCATCTTCAAGTGGTAGGTGTTGATGCGCTTCCTCCGATCAGAGCTCCGCTACCATGCAAATGCTATGGTAGCACGAAGTCGGACACGCGAGGTTCCGGACCGTCGAAAAGGAAACCCGCCCACGAAGTCAGGCCTTTTTCCGCAACCGTGTGGGTAAGACCCCGCCCTTCTTGAGAGCGGCGTAGTGGAAAATACAAGTGTGAGCCGAACGGACCTCATGACCGCTTCGCATGGCACGCAAATCACAGTTAGTTTTGGCTTTGGGTAGCCTTGTTTTATAAAACGGATGGACATGTTTTTGGCTTGATTTCGCTTATGGGTTTTGGGTCAGCTACACAACGTGGAAGGAGAAACTGAAGACTTTTATCATTGACGAAAAGGCCGGGCTCCCACTGCGTCATGTTTGGGGAAGGTGGGGGTGAACTGATTCATCACTACCAAGCAGACTGTTACGGACTTTCAATGGAGGCGCTGTGATGCGTTCCCTGTGTCCAAGGTGAAGCGCTGCGCTGCAGAGTTGGCAGCACAGGCCGCTCAGGGCGAGACACAGGCTGTGGAAGAAGTGATTCACGCTGCGATGTCGGAAGCCGTTTGTCGTCGTTATTGGGCCAGGTGTCCACAGATGGTCTCAGACCCCAGTTTGAAGTTTGGAGAGTTAATTTTTACTGAGAGTGTTCCTTACTTGGATCAGGTGAATCCTCATACCTTTATCATGCAGGGGCAGCGAATCCGCAGGGCGCCTGCCATTTTATGATGATTGCAAAGCAACTGAAGGACATGGTGGCTGGTTGTTGGGGATTCATAGGGATTCAACATTTCAGATTTTCCATTATAAGTTTGAGATGTGAACTTCGCAGGCCTCAGAATAGAATAGAGGTCTTGGGCATTATTTCATGTTCAATTTGTTTCCAACGTCTCCATCTCTAAGGCCGTGCTGGCATAGTCCTCCTTCAATTGCAGAGACAGCACAGTCCGCACCCGCGAACCCGGATAGGCCATGCTGTGGTGCCGCCTCCGTTGTGCGCATCACATGAACATTGGTCGCTAGGGGCGTTGGCCGCTTTAAGAACAATGTGACACTGGACTGTTTGGTTGCTTTCGAGATGGGAGGCTAGCGTTGCTGAAGGGCACTGCTCGCTGTGATTGCCTACCACTGACTGCAAAGGCAGATGATGGCAATGGGAGTCAGTCAAGCCTTGAAACCTTTAGCTTTGTAGTTTTCCCAGTCCGCCATGAGCAAAAATCTTGTCACTTATGTCACAATGTCAACAGTGTTGAAGTCAGACGCCACATGAAACATTTGGACCTCAAGGTCCTTTGATATTTTGCTGGTCCGGCTTGACCCGACCAGGTCTATTTGGAAGGTCGCCCCGCGGCTGTTCCAGCATCACAGCTGGAGGTGGGTGATCGCTTGCTTTGCAACTTGGTTTGAAATATTTGGACAGCATATTTGGGGTTTCAATTTCATTGAAAGGTGCTTTGATGATCTTTAATTCGCATTCTTTGTGAAAGCTCCGAAACTCACGACATGGAGTTTTTCCCCAATATGTTTGTTTTCGAACGGAGGTTATGATCACCTGGCTGGAAGCATTCGCTTCGTAGATGTGAACGACTGCGGGTGTCTTTGGCAATGGTGACCTTTCTTTGTGCAGCAGTTTCAAGTGAACAAGACATGAATGAAGCGGCCATCAGCCCCTTAAGCCTACGGGGCATCACCGTGTTTGCACAGTTTTATCATGTTTTATCTACATGACATGCTGATCAGGGTTGTATCTGGTGAATGTGAGTGGTCTCACATCACTATGGCAGATGGCACCTCAGTGTGCCTCGGCCATACAGAGATGGCAAACTTGAATTTGAAAGGTGGCAGCTCAGACATGCCCATACCAACAGCTGTAAGTTGGTAGCTGAAGGAGCGTGACTGCTGAACATCCAGTTCGAGTGGTTGGGGAGGTGGACAGTGATGGAAGAGGCGATCTGTGTTCAATTCTGAATTGAAAGAAAACAAAGAGAGGAAAAGGGATCTTTTTAGGCCGCTCTGCCCCCCAACCTAATGGCGACGGCCTCCAACCTAAGAGCAACCAAAAGGATCTCAAAAGTGCAGATCTGGTGTCGCTTTGTGTACTTCCACAATCCGGTCCTATTGGACCTTGGAGCATTCTGAGTGTTTTTCTGTTAGGAGCCTTTGGCCTTGGTGGTGGCCAGGTGGTGAATGCCGGGCAGTTGAGGTGGGCTTTGGAAATACCAAACGATTCGAGGAAGTATACTTATACAAAATTGTATGATGAAAGGATTTGCCATTCGGCTTAGGAGGTGTAGGTTCATGTAGGTGTCCTGGCGCATTATGGTGAGATTTGCCCTGCGTGAGTTCTCGGCGTTGGGAATATTACACAGTGCATATCGTGTGAGTTGGAAGACTCTGCAAATTCTATCGCCACCTTTGGTTTCTCGATTTTCTTCAGGCACTTGCACTTGCGATCTGGAATTCTACACTGGCCCATTGTCATTCACAACACACTCTCACTGAGAAGTATAAGAGGGAGTTGGCAAATGATCTAGCAGCCACCATCGAGTCGAAGACATCAAGGCTCACAGAAGCAGCAGCAGCTGCAGCAGCTTCTCTCCAACACGATGCAGATAGAGCCATACAATCACCCCACCCTTTGCAGGGGTGATTTCTCCGGCGTATATAGGGGGGCAGCAAAAATTCTTTCAGGGAGTCATTCAGATTGATCGTTTGAACATGACCTGGCAAAGGCAGAAGAGATATTAATTTGGCATTCTATTGTTTCCTGAGGTGTTCTGTGGTAACCTTTTGTCATGCAGGTTCATGTCATGCGGCCCAACCTCCAGAAGGTACCCGGTGCGCTGGGCACAGCAGAGCCTGTGCAAAACAGGTTCTTCAACGTTTGTCTCCAATTGAAGGCTAGCGAACTCCATATCAGATCACTCGGTGCACTGGCTGTGGAAAGGAACATGTGATGGGGCCAAGCAACGCAAGCAAATATTGCATTCGGAGTAGAAGCTCAAAATAGTACGTAAGGTCATGCATTAGCATAAGATCATTAATATGCAATCTGAGCTCCGTAGCGCGGCTCCGAAATACCCGGCAAAAGGCACCCAGCACGCCAGAACAGCAGTATAAAATAGTCAACAAAGCATGTGAAATCAGTTTCTGCTCCAGTTGTTTGCATTGCCCGCGATGCCACTATGCTGTGCTTCTTGTCTCTCCGCGTAGGCTTCCTGAATCGGTCAATTCTCTTACCTTGCCGTCGGTGGCGCCAGATCAACTCTTGCCATATGCTTGGATGTTATCCTCCATGTCTTCACAAGTATCACACCTAAAGAAGGAATGGTTTCGACGCGCTCGCCTTAGTGGGTACCCAGCGCATCCAAGCAGGCGCTCCAACCCTTTTCACTGTTTCAATCTTCCTTTTCAGGTACTTCAGTTGATTGCGTTAGAACCTCTTGATCATCCAGTCTTTGATGATCGATGCCTGACGCGGCACAGTCTTCTTGCGGGCATGCCACACGCTGCGGGGTGTCCATCAGGCAGAAGTTCGTGAGATCCCAGGGCGCAACCCTGCGCCGTCCCTACACCGCTTGCTCAATTTGCAATGAGAAAGATCAGAGGTAAAAGAGCCAGAGTGTGCATCGACCCTTCTTCCAGAGTTCAGCTATGCCAGCTTCCCGCAGGGGACCCGGCGTGCTATCCACCAACCGTTCATGACAATATGCACTGAGAGTGCCATGAGTCCACGCTTCGTCCAGAAGGCTAACAGAGTTTTCATGACGTTTGTCAACTGTTTAAATATATGATGTTTTAAGCCTTGGCAGCGATGTTTCTGAAGGTGCCTACGGGTTGTGGTCAGGTTTAGGTTGTTTGTTTGATGTTTGGGGCAGGTTTTTACACCGTTTGTTGGGGTGAGGGCCCTGGCACATTCCATGCTACATGCCATGTTTGTTGGTGGCCCAAGATGTGAAGAGCAAGTCACATGTGTGTCATACTGCATCATATCGTGTCCACGGTTGACATACTTCTGTCCAGTTTCGTGTATATCACACGGTTGCCGGAATCCGCCTGTCCCTGCTAGGCCCGAGAAGGACATGCTGAAGATCTTGAGACTTGGCGCTGTGCCAGTTCAGACGTTCCATGGCCGCATTGATTGCGCTCGAACAGCCTTGAAAGATGTTCGTTTTGAAGTGGCGAACTTGCAGAAATTCGTTGGTTCGTTTGTCGCTGGATGGCCCCAAACTCCCAGATTTCACCGAGGATGCATCTAAAATCGAGCCAGGAACCGCGCGTGCGAGTGAATCTACATCAGAGTCTGGCCTGCACGGAGTGTCTGCATGGGAAGGTTTGCCAAATCTTGTTGCTGAATTCCAAGGAGTTGGCACTTTGGCTGAGGGCAGAGATCCGGAAACGTTGAGATGTTTTGAGTTCTCTGGGCGGAAATGTTCGTCACCGACTTTCTTGGCACGATAGCACTTCCGAGGCGCTATTCCCTGTTTTGCTCTCAGGGTTCAGGCGCCAACTTTGGAATGGACACAGGGGCTTTTTGCCATACATGTGCTAGCTTGTGTTAGTAATATAGTTATGCGCCGCTGTGCCTGAAGAGCTTACGCCAGCTGCTTCAGGGGCTGAGATGACAGCAGTAGCTGTGGAATCTTCTGATGCTTTGGAAGGGCGCGGGCCTTCAGACCTCCAGGTGCAGAGAAAAGAAAGTGGGTCTTGTGTAGACTCAGGCTCCACAAATTTTGGCACAAGGGACGGTCCCGATTCGGGGTCCCAATGCAAGATTCCCTTGGTAGGTGCAAAACACCTTCATCGCCGGCTTCGGGCCCGGCGACGATATCATGGTGCCTCCGAAGCCACTGTCAGCTCCAGGACGGCCAGGATGTTACTAATAGGTTAGATTATATAGGTTTGTCACTTGAGTGACAAGGATACACTCTTTGGTGTGAAAACTAGGGCCGGATTGAATTGGGCGATGACACAGGCAGGTGTCGCTCAGAGTCACTGCCAGGAGCTGTTACAGGAGGTGCTTTGCGCCTTCACTCGTTGCCCGAATCCTGCGAGAGGTGCACGATTTCATAAATTGTTGAATAGCACAATTTCTGCACAAAATTTCACGTGCATGCGCATCTCATGTCTACATTTAAGACTTGACTTGACACGGGCTTGGTGGCCCAAATCACTAATTGGAAAACCCGCGGTGGCGCGCTCAGTCACTTTGTTTTCCTTCCATGGCAGCGGAGCTGGACAAAGGGCCAGCTCCCAGCTGGGGCTCCGCCGTGCCATGTAGCTCCATGCTGGTTGCTGGCAGCTTTCGTGGTGATGATGGCGATGGAGGTGGACAACTTCATCGACAGCTGCCAGGAGATCATGTAAATATTCCTTTTTGCTTCAGGCCGAATGTTGGCCTTGCGCAAGATGACAACGAGCCCCAGACGGTGGTCAAATTGCACGAATTCTTCTGGGAAAGCTGTGGCTTGGAAGACTGAACCTTGAAAGACAATCACGTTTGACCACAACAGCTGGAACTATGAGGGTGACAAGCTCTTGTGGAATATCCATTAGTGGCCTTGCGTTCACCTTTGATTCGGAAAGCAGATGGCAATTGGGATTTTGCGAGGCCTCTCAACCACTACTATGCTAATGGCTTTCCAAGTGTCGCGCTGGAAGACGGAAACCATTGGCTTCTTTCGTGCTATCGTTGGAGAGGCTATTGTTTCCAGCGGGGGTTGAACCCAATGTGCCTACAGCCAGCAGAACACGAAGGTTTCAGAAGAAGTTGTTCGGCAAGACCTGGCTTCGGGATGCTGCAGAAGGTCTTGGTATTGGACGAGGTGGATCTAAACAAAGCTTTTGGATGAAGTATGATGAAGTTGAGCGCAGAGATTCAAAAATTTGGAGCACCAGCAGTTGGCTTGACACTCAACCAGTTCTACGAAGAGGAGACCATGCACAAGGGCTTGAGTGAAGGTTGGTGTACATACCGAGACAGCCAAGTTGAGATTCAGCGCGAGCGAGCGAGAGAGAGAGAGAGAGAGAGAACGATCAGGCGCTGCCTTGCGGTGACCATGACCGACAATCAGAACAAGGAACTTTGAGAAGACAAGCTCGGACTTTCTGTTTCTGGTGAAAATGTAGCTTGCTTCGTTTTCCAGAGCCTGACCTCTCTAAATTGGGGGTGCCTGCGCGCGGCTTAGGTGTTGAGTCGTTGTGGAACCACCACGAAAATGCGGCCGATCCTTTCGAACCAGTTTTTAGCTCCAAAAGGTGGTTTGCTTTGGTGAGTACATATGTCCTTGTTTTGATTTGACGTCCAGGTGCTGCTAGCAATGGGCACCAAGCATTGTGGGTTGGAAAGACCCACGGCAAGGCAACAGCCCACAGCAATATTGACACCTTCGCGCTCCTTCAACCCCTTCATTACAGTTCCAATTTTGTCGGAAGGCCGGGCCGGTGGACGTGATCGTGGAGGAGTGGATGCTGATGACTCGCGGTGGAGGACCGGAGATGATCGCGCGATCAAGTCGCAGGTGGTGCAGGGGGGTATGCCAGAGAACGCGCTCACCAGCCTCTTCGACCTGCGTCGGCGTTGGATTGGTGATGGCCACGATGATGATGCGCCAGAAGTGTTGCTCAAGAGATGGATCATGGAGAGGCGGTCAAAAATCCCGCAAACTAGCCCTTCAGCAACCCGCGCGCGCAAAACTACGCGGGAGAAGTTGAGCGAGAGGTGGAGCAAAGCTGCGCCCTGCAAATCAGTTTTCATGGTAAGAAGACTTGGCTGACCTCATGGAGGGTGATGGTGGTGAGGGGCGACCTGAACGGGGGATAAGCCGACTCCCAATAGGGGAGCCCTGGAAGACATGAGATTGCTCGCGCCGTTGCTGTTGAAGCGGGGTTGGTTCTTTTTGGGCGTGGAGACGCCGCAGTTGATCTTGTCCAGATATTTGGCTTGAATACCACGCGAATCTATGCGAGTGACTTGACTGTGCTCGCACGAACTCCGATGGTTTTGGAGGGGATGCAAAAAGGCGTCGCGTTGAGGGAATCGGGAATCTTTCCCCACGCAATGTTTGCCCAAAAGGGTAAAGAACTCCAATTTGGAAGGTCAAGAAAGACACCACACCATCAGTTGAGCACTGTTTTCCTTGAATGGGTGCCTGGTTGTAGCCAGCCAAAGGAGAGAGTTTCTGATGTTCATGAGAAGACGAGCGCTGAAGGAAAGGAAGAAGTTCGCATCTTTGAGAGGAAACATACCGTGAGGCTGCTTGTGCTCTACGGCTTCTGTGTGTTTGCGTTCCTCTTTGGCATCTTCATTGCCTACTGGGTCTTACCCTTTCTCGTGCCCAGACAGGACCATGTATGTTATGAATCCGTGGTTTGCTGCAAGGTCTTTATGCTAATCGCGGTGGCATGCTTATTTAGGAGTACAACGCACAGAGAGCATTTTATCACAGTGGCGCACCAAACGTTTGGATGAACTGTGGGGATTGCAAAGCTATCCAAGCACCACAAATTCAATGAGAGGAGGCGAGCAAGCGCACCTCTCCGAATCTGCGGGCATACTGGCCTTCGCACCCTTTTTCACAGTCTCTTATAAAATCCAGGCCCCGTCGGCCTGTTTGGTCCAAAACCCAGACGGACCCTACATATCCACCTTTAGAGCGAGCGCAAGCCAAGGTGGGGTTATAGGGTAGGTACAGCCACATGAAGCTTGCGCACTTCAGTGTGCGATGTGGGACCCGCTTGAATACAGTAGATACTGTAGTTGACAGATATTGGTGGGCCACACGTCCACCATTGTGCCCAGCACGCGCAAGCTAACAGTAGGTTTCCTGGCAGGTATACCAACATGAGACATGCGTGCTGCATCTTCGCTGTGCTATGCAGAAGCACACTGTGAATCCAAATGTGGGGCGCTCCGACTCCCACTGTTGCACCCACTATGCACTAGCTAAGTGTAGAATTTTGGACACATGCTCCCGCATAAGACATGCAAACATGCTTAAGAAGTGCACGTTGGCAGATTTGTGACTCCCTGTTCTTGTGGGTTGGCTTCTTTTCATCTGCGTGCCATGCGGTGGGCTGACTTCCTGTTGTGTGGGCTGCGAAAGGCCGAGCGCTCTTACCACGTCGCTGATTGGAATCCAGTGGCCGGATATCTTCGAGATGTCCGGGCTCAAGACTAGAGAATTCAGGCGACGCGGAAAGTGGAGAAGAATGCGTCATGGAAATCCCAATCACAGATGCCACACGCGCTACAAGCCTACAAAATCAGAGGAAGGGTCAGAAAAAAACCTCAGAGTCGGTGGAATCGGAGAGAGGATCAAGAGAATGCGATTGGCACGAGTGGGGGGACCTTGTTCTACATTTCAAGCAGGGGCAGAGAGAAGGGCCAGAATTTACAGCATTCTGCCCAATCAGTTGCAGGATTGGTTTCGAGGACGCTTCTTTCATCACAGGGCTTCTGACCGTATCAGGCCCCAGAGCTGGACAGAGGAAGAACCAAAAGTGTAGGCAAAAGAGTTTGAAAAGTTAGAGCGCGCAAGACTTACCAAAACTTTGAGGTGGCGTGTTGGCACCTTTTCAACCTCCCGAGCTGTCATGCCCATGCGCATTCCACGTCTACATTTGACACTTGACTTCACCGGGCCTGCTGGGAAGTCAGCCGGGGTGCGCCCTTTCAGAATTAAATGGCTCTTGGGTGACATGTGCCTAGAATAGTGGCTGGCATGCTGCTTCACTGGAACGTGCCCGAACCATGTTTTTTGCCTTCCATGATCATTACATGCTTTGCTGGCACGCTGCCGGCAATCCTCCAGGTGCGACGTAAGCGCTGATGATTGCGTGGCTGAGTTGGAAACAAACTTTGACTCTGACGTGCCTGGAGCCCAGCCGGAAACCAGAACGCCCAGAGCCCACGCATTTGATGAACGATGGCTTGTTAACTTTCGCCATCTTGCGATGTTTTTGTGCTCAGGGCTGATGCTGGGCCATCCAGTTCCAGTGAAGGCGGAAACCCAGACCTCCTCCATGCCAAGGGTCGCTGTCAGCCTTGCTTATTCCAAAGCAGGCCGGCCGCTTGATTTCTATCGACCGTTCCATGACATGAACAAATGAAAAGTTATGTGGGCAGGGTCTGAGGATCTTTTGCAACCTTCCGTGTTCGTTTAGTTTTTATAACTTGGACCTTAAATTTTCTATAAACCTTGCATGTTCCTGTCATTGTGTTTCCGTTCTATTTGGCCAGGTACTTTTCAGATCCAGAAACATATCCTGCCTGTACGAAACCTGATTGCCTTGCACGATACTGTCACCTCCCTCATAGTGAGGACGGAATCACTGTACATAGAGAGAGGTAGAAAGAGATACCCTTTTTTTTCTGTTGACAAGTCTATTGAAACCATCAGAACCATCAGAATCTAGAAGTCTGGAGGAAGAGTTGGTTTCTCTTGGCGCTACTGCGACAAAACGCGTACCACGTGGACCATTTCGCAACCTTGCAGGACTACATTGCAAAGTACAAGTCTTACAAGCGGCGGTACGAGAAGAAGAATCGCGCCTTGGCGACATGACAGAGGTATACAGTATACGCATTTGGAACACCTTTCACATTGGCAGCAGGCAGG